TAAGTGCCAAAAAGCTCTGCTGAAGCACCCAATCTATATAGATTTTGGATGACCCGGGTCAAATTAACACGATGCCTCTTCTGGGCATGCGCTGCGCTTGTTGCAGGGTTGCACCAAGCTTAAAAGTGAAGTGCAGAGCTGAAAGTAAAATGCCTTTTTTTTCCATATGTGTAAGCAGCCTAATTGTCTCCCCAAAGTCCCTGCTTCATCAGTGGAGGAAAAATAAAGCCAAAACCCTTATTCTCTCCCATGCCTAGGCTGCAAGTAGTGGGTGTATGGCTATCATGCCATTGCTTCAGCCCTCACAGGGATAGCTACCAGGTAGCCTGAGGCTTGCCAAGCAGGGTCAACTGAAACAATTGGGCCCTGTTGTGAGATGTCATTGCCCTCTGACTCCCCTCCCTCTGCTGTGTGTGGAAGTCAGAGACAAAATACCCACGGTGGTCAGTGGAGGCTGCTGACTCTGGTGCTCAGGCTGAAAGGTAGCTCATGCTCTGTTTGGGTGGTGTTCTCATCTTTCAGATTAAGGGGTCATGGACTGGGAAGAACCGTGTGCAGAATCCCTACAGCCATGGAAACATTGTGAAGAACTGCTGTGAGGTGCTGTGTGGGCCTCTGCCACCTAGGTAAGTGCTAGGGGAGGAGCCCAGGTTTGCTCTTCTGAAAATGTTAGGCCTCTGGTTACTAAGGAGTCAATGTGTTTTGAGGCAGAAGGCACAGCCTGGCCTTGCCAGCCCTCATGTGTAGTGGGGCTGCACAGCTAGACGTGGGGTAGTACCAGCTGTTCTAGGGGAGTAAAGTGTGGTGTCTACAGAACACAAGGGGTTTGTTTGGAAGCAGAACCAGGATTTCCCAGAGGTGCTTGTGAGAGCAGCAACTCTCACTGCAGAGGTGGATTCACCCCCTGACTTCAGCCTGTTTTGCCTCTACCAGTTGGGGCAGACTTTGTTTAATCCATAAAGCAGTAAAAGTCCCTCCCTCCCTTCCTCTTTCTGCTGAAAGACACACCTCCTCCCTCTCCTCTTTCCCCTCTCCACCAGCTCCCCTGCCTGCTGCTGCTGCTTTCTTCACCACTGTGGGGCAGAGAAGCTCCAGAGCAGGCTGGGCTCAGCTGCGTGGGGAAGGTGGTGTGGTGGGAGAGTAGTTGACCCCACCTTGCCCAGTCCTGGAGCAGGCATAAGGGGGAAATGGAGCCCCTTCTGTCAGGTGGAGAGAAGGGGCAGAGAGGGGGTGTGCCTTTGAGCCGGAAGGGGGAAAGGAGTATTTTCATATGCTTTAGGGATTTTAAAAAGTCCCTGGAGGCTCCATAGTACAGTGCAATCCAAAAGAGAAGCGTAGCCCTGCCACTGTACCCTCTCTGGATCTGCCCCTGGGCATGTTGTACAACTCTGTAAGTTAGGTAAGTTCACATTCCTGGGACATCATTAGAGTATCAGTCCTTCCTGTGACAAAAAGTGTCACCCCCTCTGAATGGCACAGCCTGGAGACCTGGCCGCTAGGGAGCTAGCTTCCTCTTCTGACATCACAGCCTCAGTTTTGGGTGACTTCAAGGTTCTGCTTCAGACCTAGCCATGATGTCTCACATGAGGCTTGTGCTGGCAGGGGAGCAGGTGGATTTTTTTCCAAATGTGCAGATATTAAGAAGCCAAGATCAAGAGTAGAATAGATCTGTTCTGGAAAGGTTCCCTCCCATTTGTTGTGTTCATTCTTGTTTCACACTGATAGGGCTGCACCTTGCTGTTCTTCTAGCAGAGGGCATGGGTTTGAGACCTAGGTGTCCCTTCAGCCTTCCTAACTCTATTCCTTGCAGTGTGTTGGATAGACGGGGCATCTTGCAACAGGAGGAAAGCAGTGCTCGGGAGGAGAGCAGCACTCGAGGGCCCAGCGTGCAGAAAGAGAGCAGTGCTCAGGAGCCTGGTACTACTCAGGGGCTCGGTGCGCAGGAGGAGAGTGGTTCCCAGAAGGGCCACAACAGCCCTACACATCATGCTGCCGTAAGTGCTCCTTTAACATAGGCATAGAAGGGCATGTAGAATAATTGCCCTCCTCCCATGCAACCAGGAACTCTACACTCCTCTCCCATTGGCAACACTGACCAAAGGCCCTAGAGCTGGCCCTATAGATGTAGTGGCTGAGCTGTTGGGAGTGAGGAAGAGAAACACAGTTGTCCTTGGAATAAAGCTGAGTCCTGGGTTGAGGGACCTGCTGGCAGGGTCTTGCTTCAGGGGTATCTGGGTGGGATGGAGCTGTTAGGTGGCTGGCCCCCTTGGCCTTCTTGCCTGTGGTGCCACAAAGCCAAGCATGGTCTGCTGGGATTGTATTTCTTGATGGTGGCTGGTTGCCTGCACTCCACAGCAGGAACAATGTACATCATACTGAATAGTAAGCCCCAAAAGCATGGGCCTTGTTCTGGCTTTTGGTTGCCAGAGTCTTTCCTCTAAGTTGAATTTTTCACCCCTAGGTTATCAGCTATGTGTGAGGGCATCTCTTCAGCACCTCCTGTAGAAATGCTGTTGCACAGGTTGCTGTACCTGTTGTTCCTCGTTTTCTTTCCTTTCCTTCTCCTTCCCTCTCCCTGTTTCACCCTGCTTCCCCTTTCAGCAGTGTTGTTCATTGCAGACTCAGCTGAAAATGTAAACTAACCAGAAAGAACAGTGGTTGTGGGACTGCTGGCCTTTTTGGAGGGGAGGGTGGATATGGAGGCAGGCAGGCAGGGCTCCTTCAGGAGTTATTTCTCTCTTCCTCTCCATACTGCAGCTCCTCCACATGTGGCCTTTGTGTTAGAAAACCAGTTCAGTTTACTCTGTGAGCAGCCCAGGTACTTCTCAGGTGCCGTTGAGCACCATGGCTGGGCAGTGGCTTCTGGTTCCTGGTACTGATTTAAAGGAGTATTTTGGGCCTCGGGGATAAGATGTGATGATCCTTTATTCCATTCTTGTAAGCTCTGTAGAGTCTTATACAGAGGGAAACCTCTGCTTGACAGTCATTTTCTTTGATGTTAACTGAGCTTTTGAAAACAGCTGGTTTAAATGTCCTGGGTCTGCTAAGTCAAATGTGATCCTGTTTCCTTTAAGTCCATACAAGACAAACAGTAGAGGAAAGAACAATAAAGACAGAGAATGTAGCTTCTCTCTGGCAGTCTTGCTGCTGGGCAGTGCAGGCAGCACATCGCAGCTACTCTGAGATCAGGCAAACTTCTACCAGCGCTCGGCTGTTCACAGTGCTGCTTCAGCAGGCTCTCATGTCAGTGCTGCAGGAGGGGAGCTGTATCGGCAGTGAAGCCAAACTCTCACTAGAGATGAGTCATGAAGGGAATTCAGTTAACATTCAAGACATTGATGGCAGAGACTGCAAGCTCACGTTCCTTGCCAGGGTCAGCAGCCAGGCATAGTTATTTGAGAGCTTTGAGTCCATTTATGGCAGGATGTCTTTTAGGCCAGTGGGGGGGTGTCGTGGTGTGTCAGGGCATGGGAGCAGCACCAGCCATGGTGACGAAGTTTGCACTTTCCCACCTATGCTTTCTGCAGCTCCCTGGCTCTCATGGTGATCCTTGCTAGCCATGTCCAAAAAGGGCTGGCAATCTCATGCCACTAATGCTAACCAGTCACCACACGTTCTGATGACTCCAAGTGCCCCTTCCTAGACTGGCTTGTTATCATGCCAACCTGTGCCTTTACCAGAACCATAGCGAACCCTTCATACTTTGCACAATCCATTTTTTTGCCTGTCTTTCCTGAGAGCCTCTCTACTGCACTTATCTTTGCTTTCCAGGTAGAACTAGGGTCTCTACCATAGCTGAGCAGTGCTGTGCACATGTGTAATTGGAAAAGCGCACATTCTTATGGGGTGGGGAGAGTACCCCTCCAAACCATCACTCCCTCTCTCTCCTCTCTCACCAGGTCCCCTTGCCACCACTGAACAGTGTTAAAACACCGGAGGAGACTCAGCCGACTGTTGTGGAGCCCCCAGCCCAGCCTGGGGAAGATGGTCAAGCAGAGCACTAGCCTGTTCGAACAGGCGAACTTTCTTGTTTTGTCTGATCAAAGCTGGAAGCGATTGAGGAAAGGAGATGATGGGGCCGGATGGTGTGCGAGCGCGCGAGTCCTCATGGCTGTTTTGCTTTAGTCTTTATCAACTTCTGTTTGCGGCTGGTACGGTGCAGACTGCAGAATGCCTGGCACAGGTGCCAGTGGACTGAGTGTGAGCAGAGCATGTCAGTCGTTTCACTGGGTCTATCTCCACCCTTGCAGCTGGTCTCCCTGCGTGGCTGAATTGGGACCTCCTTGGTCTGTGGTTGGTCCTCACCAGTTAAACACTAGTCCCTTTTGGTATTGATCATCTCTCTCCTAGGTCCCAGTTGTGGCCTATGACTGATCAGCCACCTTGTAGTGGAGTTGCCCAGACTACAGCAGAATCGACCTGCTCCCTGTTGCTAAAGAATCATGATGGGAAGGAGAATGCATCCATACTGGTATTCTTCTTCCTCCTCCTTCACCCAGACTGTGATATTGTTTTATTGCTTAAGGTGGCAGGGATGGCCAGGAAATATTATTTTGGTGCCAAAAGGGCCAAAAGCTACGGGGGAGGTGTTCTGCTTGGAAACACGTTTTAAGTAGCTCCCTTCCCAGACTTCTCTCTCTTCATATGGTGCCGCAGCTGTAAGAGCACATAGGGGATAGTCTTTGTGTGGCAGCCTCCTTTTCTTTCCATGGGAGCCAAGGCTAGGTTTCCCGGGGTGGCTAGGAGCAACATACTGTCCTGCTGCATGTCTTGGCTCTGCAGTACATGCAGATTGGTCATGCTAGGGGTAAAGCAGAAGGGAGGAGCCCTCAGGTGTCTGGCTCCAGTGCTGAGGTTGGGGCAGGATTTGTTATTTGGTGTCTTCTCCTTTCTAGTGTCTATCCCAAGTGATGGTGCTTCCCTAGGGAAGCTGTGCTGGGGCTGAGTAGCCCTTGCTCTCAGGAAGTTTAATCTCAAGTTCACTCCTCATTTTTTTCCCCCCCCCTTTCTCCCTCTATCTCAGTCCCTGCCACTGGCTTTTCAGTGTTCTCTGAGCTCCCTCTCCCCTGCTCATTAGTGCTTGCAGGCTGCTCTGTATACTGATGAAGAGGGGTTTTGTTAAGGACTTGGCCTTGCCCTAGTTGTGACCCAAGGAATGAAATGGGAAAACTCCCAGGACCTCTCAGGAGCTCTGGTAGGCCACTGTGGAGTGCTTGGACAAGTTTCCCTGGCTCTCACTGACTCCATCTGTCTGATCTCCATATGTACTGAATTTTTCTGCTAGATACCCAGCCCTCATCACAGTATTTCATGGCCACATCCTACCTATCTGTAGCAGCTCACATTGGACAGGGCCTGCTGTTGCAGGAGGAGCTGTCTGGCACCTCACTGCTCTTGGCCTATGTGACCTAGTCCCAGTCAGTGGGATGGGAGAACTCTGTACTGGAAGACAATTCTGCTATGTCTCCTTTATAGCAATTCATCTCACTTCCTCCTTCTCCCCTTACCTTTCCCTCCCTCCCTCTTAGAGATGGCTCTTTCAAGGGAATCCTGCAATTGCCAGCCCCTGGAGAAGGATTCCTTTTGTGAGTACTCCATGCATCTTCAAGGGAGACAGTGCTGATTGCTGCCAGCTTATCTGAGGCAGTTTCCATCTGTCCCCAGAACCAGTGCCTGGTGACTTGCTGGAGGAAGGAAGGGCAGCCTTTTCTTCTCCTCCTCTATCACTTGTACTTTGACTTTCCCTGCAAGCTGCTGAGGGCGAAAGGAGTTGGGCCTAGTGCTGCAAGTCACTTGGGTCTCCAGCACTAATAAGGAGCTCCATATTTCTCTCTCATTCCTCCCACTCCTTTGCCCCCATGCCCACTGCTCTGTGCGTTTCTCAGTTGACATTGAGTTTGATGTTTCATTTGCTCCGCTTTGCTTAGGATGGGTGACCTGCACCATGTTCCATCTCCTGCCCCTGCAGTCTGTGTGCAGAGCAGCACTGAGCTCTCTGGGGCAGGGGGTGCTGCTGCCTACCAAAAACTCCCTTGGTAGGCAGCAGCATTCCCCCCCACCCCGCCTGAGAGTAGTGCTGTGTAGATTTTGGGGAGGAGCAGGAGGTAGGACTTCCATCCTGCTACTAAGAGTAGGATGCACAGGCTTGCTATTCATTAGGATTCCCTTAGCTTTGCTTGCCTGGATGACCTGGTCCCATGTCCATTCAGCCCTTAAAGGACCTCTCTGTGTGATCCTGATCTATCCTGCAAGCAGGGGCTAAATTTTTTGCATGTCTGCTCTTCTCTCTTTCCTACACCTTGAGCAGGGCTCAAAGCTGCCATTTCCTCTCAACTGCACTGCAGGCAGTACTTCCTAGTGCCTGTCCCCTCCAAGATCTGCCTCCTCATTGTGGATGAACACAGAGAAGGAGCCATGAGTCTGACTGACCTTCTAGTATTGCTGAGCCCTCAGCCAGGTTCTGGTTCCCCATATCCTACTCTCTGGAACCGTTATTCCTGCAGCATAGGCTCAGGTATCTGCCACTATTGGTGCTCTGCCCTGGCCCATGCTAGTGCCCTGTGCTGAAACTGTGGTGGGGGCAGCAGCCAGTCCTCTCCCGCCTGTCCTGCCACACTACTGACCAAATCTCTTACTTGTTGCAAAAAATGTATTTTTGTTTTTACTAATCTATTTTCTAATGTTACGTGTTAAACTTTGCCCACGGGGCAGGGCACAGACGCTGGTGGCACCTGCTGCTCCTTGTCTGCTCTGTTCAAGTTCTCAGTGAAGGAAGCCTTTTTGGAAACAGTAATGAAGGAATCTTAATCAGTTTGAAAACCCCTGAGGTGTGGCCTGTGCCTCTCTGTGTCTGCCTGCACCTTACTCTGCCCCACCAGGCCCTTCTGTGCAGCTCAGCCAGCTGGTGGTGTACAGCCCTGTTCTGTGCTCCTTACTGGGTCTCATGGTAAGGACGTCTCCCCTCTGCCAGCCACCAAGGATGCTGCACTTCATTGTTACTTTACTATTTTGACTCCTGCCTTTCTCTGGATACCAGTCAGAGCCAGTGGCCCTGTTGACCCCAGGGGCTGAAGGTAGCTGTGCTTGTGAGGCCCTCCAGGTTACTGCTGGAGGGTCTACTTCCCTCCTGTGACGGGGAGCTTTCACTTACTCCCAAAGAGGGTATTTCCTCTGCCTATCCAGCATTCCCTCTAAGCTGCGCAGCCACACAGGTGTGCTCATGCTGACCTGCCGGGTGCACCTGTGCAGCTGTGGACACCACACAGCTTAGAGGTAATGCAGCTCATTGGACTTGGGAAATGACAGCTCAGCACGGAAGCCAAGGAGACATTACAAGGGCAAAGTCTTCCAGCTAGATGCAAAGTCCAATCTTGCATAACACCCATGGCAGGGCAGGTCTGACCTAGGGTGTGCTTGCATGGCCAAAGGCAGCACCACCTGGATCTAGCTCGGTGCTAGCACTGAATCAAAAGCAGTATAGCCATGTATGTGCAGCACTGATCTTGCTGTTCTGAGAAGCAGAACAGATTAACTCATCCACAGTACCCTGCTCCCATGTCTGTACTACTTCTCAGTGTGCGATTGTGGGGCTATTTCAGCAGTTTCCTTCTGCCATGTAAACATCCTGATGATCTCTGCCACATCCTGCTTCATGCTGTACTGGTTCCTCCATGGCCTTTTTATGCAACCTACCTTCCACCATCTTCACCATGCAGACAAATTAATATATAGCACATGTGCAAGTTCAGGATCAAGAGAAAAAAGTTCCTTGCTCCTTACTCTCTCTGTTATACTGTTTATAATGGGGACAGCTCCATCCTTGTGTTTCTCTTGAGAATCCCAGCTGTAGCTGGCTCAAAGAAGGGCCAACAATTTGGATTATTAGCTGCATGTGTGTGGAGAGTTAAGGGGGACAGAGTGATGGAGCAGGGTCTTATGGAGACCCTCCAGTGTTGAGAGGACCATGAAGAGATACTGCAGTGGAATGCGAGATGGCAGCTTCTTTCTGGGGAGGGGTTTGAACTGGCTGCAGCCCAAGGGAAAATGGCCTTGCGCCAACTCACCCCCTGTGAGGGGGTGCTGCCTAGGATCTAAAGCTCTTTTACTATGGTCGAGGTAGACATGAGACCAGGCTGTGGAGTGCTGGGTAGCAGAGCATGCTTTATTGAGATGAAGCACAAGGTAGTGAGTTAAATGCCTAAACCTACATGGCTGGAACACAGGCTGAGAAGTCACAGGCTTGGAGACTCAGCCCTTGGGCCAGATGGAACCTGATTTAAGCATATATAATTCCCATGAATAGCTGTGGGTGTTGCAACCTTGTCTTCTGGGATGAGTTGGCCCGTGACTGTGTAGATAAGATGCAAAGGAACCCTGCTCTGGTGCAAAATGATGTGCCAAGAACATGAGACCTTCCCTGAGTTGGGCATGAACTTAGTTTCTTGGCTTGTTATCCCAGTGGAAAGCTAGCCAGAAAACAACTTCAGTGAAGATGATCTTGTCAGAGTTGCTCATGGGCCCAGTCCTGATTGGGACGAAGCATGTAGTTCTTTAGCTGGGTAGGCCCCTGCTCCTCTGCATGCCATTGGCCTCTATTGCACCGTTAGCTGCACTCATAATCAGTTTGTCTGTCCCACAGTGCTGCTGGGACTGTTGGTCGGGGGCCACCTAAAGTGAAGTGTGAGCTCTGTAGAGGTGGCTCTGCACCTGGCAGGAGTTGCTCTTCCTCTTCTGGCTGCAGTCCTGGGGATACGTGGAGCAAATGCTGAGGATTCAAAAGCATCATAATCTCTGTATCTGCTCCCTTCCTCTTTTTTCCATTCTTAGGACAGGCACCTCATACTCAGGCAGGCTTAGCCTGCCCCCCTCTGACCAGCCCCATTCCTGCAGCAGAGGGAGGATCGGTCTTGTGCAAGAGTCTGATCCAATTACAGACAGTGTTGTGAGACACAGCTACGCCTCTTTCCAGCTTCCCAAACAAGCACTGCTGTGCTGGCCCCAGAATCATGTCTGAGATGGGGGAGTAATAGCCTAGTGCAGCTTTGCTGTGCTGAGCCAACTCAAGACTTTAGTCAGGGGAGCTGCTGTAGCATGGCTGCATTTCAAGCCCTATGCTGTCCTCTGACCAAAAACAACCAGCTATGGGACCTGATCTCTGCTCTCTGTTAAACCTGCTCCCAACACAGCCAGCCACACTTTGCTGGGAGTGAAAAATGCCTGTTACTACAGAAAGGCGGCTACAGCTTCTCTCACAGCTGTCCATCCACCGTGTCTTAAGGAGACAGGTTTGGTCATGACAGCCATTACTGTTACCTGCAACCTGTCTACACCACTCCTGGATCAGCCTAGAAACCCATGTCTCAGACCTCCTCACTCAGTGCCTGGGCCCATCCCCCCTCCAGCATCAGCTGCTACCTCCACCTGTAATTGCCTGTCCCAGTAGGGAAGAATGCTTCCACCCACCCACTGGTACATAGTTGCCAGAGTAGCCTGTGTTTGATACTGGGGGTCTTCAGCTGGGAAGTGCATCCCCACTGCACAAACGACACAGCAACAAGGCTTGCAGTATCTGCCTGGGTGTGCATGGCGTAATAGTTGACCTTTGGGGAAAGAGCTAGGCAGCTACCTAGTTGAGGCCCCTACCACCAGCAGAGGCCTGGCAGAGGAGGCAGGAAGCAGTTGGGACCGGGTAGAGGAACAAATTAAGAGTCTTTGTGGCTAGGAAGATGGCAGGGGGAGGGGGGCGTGGCATAAAAGTAAACTGTTACAGAAGCAGGTCCTGTGTCTGCCAGGAGAACAGTGGCTTGGGGTAGGCCCTGGCACAGTTCGTAGGGGAGAGGCCTATCCTGGTGTGGGAATTGTGGCAGCCATGAACTGTTCCCAGTGTCCCTTCCTGTGGCACTCGCAGTGCCAACAAAGGAGAATTTGTCCCGCTTTGGACATATCCCAATACTGGTGGGGGCCTGAGCAGTGTCCCAGTGGTGGCCCCTGGCCAAGCAGATTCAGTGCCTGGACGGGGCAGTTCTGGGAGGCTCGGGCAAGGCAGGGTGGTGGGTTCAGGAGGATTGTTCCAGAGAGAGAGCCTGAAGTTGCTCCTCTGTGCTGTTCAGCTCTGTTTCATCTCGGCTGTTCTCCAGTGTCTCTGATCCCTCGAAGCAGCCCGAGTCACGGGGAATATCCCCTTTGGGGTCCAAGGGTGAGGGGTGTAGCTCAGAGCTCTCTCCTTCTTCGGTCTCACTGGCTGCTGTGTGGAGAGGGCAAAACGTTAAAGGGCAAGGTCTGCTCCTGTATAGAGCTCTGAGCAGGCCCAAGTTGTCTTGAGCTAGCTCCAGGGGTTGGTCCTACTGCCCATTGCTATGAGGCTGCTCCCTGAGGTTGTGTGGAAGCATTCTGGGTAAAGGCATGCAACCTGCTCTAGGCCTAGCTGCCTGCAGTAGGTAAGCCCTTGGCATCCTCCATTGCACATTGCACCTACCCCCAGAAGCACTGAGCAGCCTATAGCTGGGCTCTGGTGCTCTCATTTGCCTGGCTGGGGATGCTCCCTTGGCAGAGCAGTTGCTACATGGGATTGCAGATTGAGGCCCTCATGGTCCAGTGCAGGGCAGTCTGCCTCTGGTTGCCCACTGGGGCCCTAGGGATTAGCCTGTCCTAGCTGGATAGGCCTGCCTACTGTGGCGTGTGCTCAGAGCAGGAGCCAGACTAAGGGGCCATATCTGGCCTGGAACTCACAGGCTTGTGGGTCTATGATTCCTAGGAGGAAGAGAGTTTAGGGGGAGGGGGTGTGGCAACTGTCCATTCAGACTGACTCCAGTGTTGTCTGTCTCTTACTGTCATAATCCAACAGCAGGTCAGCAGCTGTGAGCAGCTTGGCACGGTGCTGGGGGTCCATGATATTCAACTCATTCAGGTGGGTCTCCCGGAGCTCCTTGAAGTCCTCCAGGGTCTGGTAGCCATTCAGTAACAAGGTGGAGATGTGCTCCTGGAGAAGGGGAAAACCAAGAATGTGGCACAGCTGCACAGTCATGGCAGTTGGAATTGAGAGCGAGGGCTCTGATGATCCCACAGCCACAAGATTTGCCCAGGGCCTCACCAGGCTACAGACCCATGATCTTCTTTAGAACATCCTAGTCCAAGCACATGCCTAAATCCCCAGCTGCCAAAAGCTCCAGCTACATTCTAACAACATGGCCACTTCCTGACAATCAGAGTGCTAGAGCTGATGGCAGAAAGTAAGGGAGTGGCCTTTGTGATCTACAGCCTACAGGCAGGTCATATACACCAGGCTAGCACAGAGTTAACGTTCTCAGAGCTGCCTTGGGCCCCTTCCATACAAAGCCTTGGAAAGAGCCCTCAGGCAGCGAGTGACCAGCAGCAGTGGTTCAGGAGTGTGGGCTGGTCTGTGCATGCTGGACTCTGGGTACAGGTAGCTCCTGCTCACTGTTCCTGATCCTAATCAAGGGAGAAGGCAAAATGCCATTCTGCTGTGTTTGGGCTGTGGCCCCAGAGTGGGGCAGAGCACTGCCACTACTGGGACACTGTACTGGACTGTGTTGAAGGCTTGAGGTGTACCTCACTCTCACTGTTCAAGAGTAAAGCATAAGCTATTTGCCATGTGCTGCAGGTTTGAGGTACCTGTGGGCAGCCTGGCAAAGTTCTATACACTCTTTCTCAGTCCGACTCCTGACTCCTTGGCAACGCACATCCCAGTTGCAGAGAACCCTGGGGCAAGCACAAAACTCATGCACAGGGGGCACATCTACACATGAAATTAATTTGATGCAATAAATTCTAACATTGCTTCTGGGCACAGGGTTTGCACGTGTACCTGGGACTGCAGCACGTTGAGCTGGGGCAAAGTAGCCCTGGCTGGCAGGGGGCTCTGCGGGGGCACAGCCTGCTAGCCTAGGGCTGCACTGACCTGGCTCAACATGCTGCAGAGGGACTGACTGAGCCTCAGCCAGCCCCAGTCAGCATCTACACGTGCATTACAGTGAAGTAAATAACTCTGTCATAGGATAGGATTTGTGTTGGGCAGTACTAGCCTATGGCAGAGTTGATTAGTTTACTCCAGCCTAATAGCACCACATGTGTAGATGCTGACACTTTACTGTGGAGCTAATTAGATGCACCTAGGGTGTGTCTGCCTGCCCAGTATATCCCAGCTCTTCTTGTAGGGGGATGGGGGGGTGGGAATTGAGAAGTCCCTCTTAAGAGCAGCACCAGGGCCTGTGGAGGCAGGAGCTGCCAGGGGCTTGGTGTGGGTGTTTCTTGGAATCCAAGTGGAGTTTGGGGGATAAAGCTAATGCTCTCCACCCCTGCACAGCTTTGCATCCCCTTTCCTCCCCCACCCCCTGCACTGCTTTCCTCTCTCTTTCTGAGAAGCAGCAGCAGCACCATGTTGGTGCCTGCTCCACCCCCTGTCTTCACACTGTCATGCCCTTTCAAGAACTGTCCCAAAGCTATTTTCCATCCCTTTCCCTTCCATCTCACACCCCTGTGCTCTCCCCTTCTCAGCACCCCTACCCCCATCCTCTCTTTCTTTTCAAGTCCAGCCCTCAGGAAAGCAGTGCCCACTCCACTAGCTAAGAGCAACACTTTGAGAACTGAAAAACAGACTTGTGACTTCACAGTGGCGGAACAGCAGCTCTCTGGCATGGGGCTTTTTAGAGCAGTTGTTACCTGCTCTGTACGTGTGCTGCAGGGTCCACCATTGCCAATCCAACAGCCACAGCCAGGAGGTTTTCCCAAGAACTGAATGAGCTATGGCAGGTATGGGAGTTGCTTAGGGTTGTGCTTCCAGCTTTTTTTTTTTTTTAAATGAAAGCTGGGCCTTGCAAAAAGCCCGGCTCTCCTGCATCTCTGCTAGGACCCGGAGCTGGTGGCAGAGGCAATCTGCACCTTTCCTTCAGGGAGTGCTGCAAAGATGCTGCTTGCCTGCCCTGCCCTCTCCCCATGTGCCCTCCCTGGAGCCACCACCACCTGCCCTGCTCTCTCACCTGCAGATTTATGCGCTCCAGCAGCTCATGCAGGGTCTTGGGCTTGGGTCGTTTGCTCTTGCTCTGCCTGCGGCTCTTCCGTACGGGCACAGTTTCCTCAGGGATGATGTCCACATAGATGAACTTGAAGGAGCCCACTCTGTTGTTCAGGAGCCCAGTCCAGGTGCCCACAGGTGGCTTCTCGATGATCCTGATGATGTCCCCTTTCTGTGACAGGCACCAAGGGAGGCCCATAAGTAACTGCCCCACCCAACATAGGAGGGTTGTGCCTAGGCCAGGGTGGGAAGCAGAATGTTCCCAGTCCACTCTAAGCTGTGTTTGTTGGGGCTGGGCCTGTAGTGAGGAGTGGGGACACTGGGAAGCCTGTGCTGTGCTTTTTCTCTACACGTCCCATAGTGCCACCAGGCTCGGGCAGGGCTGGCCTACTAGCACTGTGACACCTGGCTGCTCCTCTACACTGCATGGGTTGCCTAAGATGCCAAAAAGCAGAAGATATCCAGAATTTGGGTATCAGCATTTGGAAGGCACCAGGGCAGGCAACCTAGCACTGGGGCTACTGTCACTGACTTTTTTTGGCCCAAATGCTTGTACTCCCTCCAGGCAGGCACCTATCCTAGAGAAGACCATAAGGACATGGAACCCCGAGATGAATGACTTACAGTGGGGAAAAATTTGGGTTTGTGCCCTTGGTGTAGGTCCCTGAGTAGAGAGCAGGTTTTCCCAGTGCTGTCCTATGAAAAGTATGTCTCACCTTGGTTGATGTTACAGATCTGCCAGTCATGGGGTATCTTCACAGTGGGTCAGGGTTACAGATCAGCTGAGCAACGATGGGAGGTTTAGACAGATAGGCGTGACTCTTACTGTCTTGTAGTTTAGGCTGTGACCTCCATGTGCACTGAATGGGAGTTGCCCATTCCTACATTTGACATTTAGGGTCCTACCATGCACACAAGGGAGGCCTGGGCCCTTTGTTGCCTTTCCATTATGCCCATGTAACTCCAGTGACTGACTAACAGTTTGGACAAAGGGAATCTTAGTTGAAGGTGCAGCACTCCAATCTCCCATAGCTATTGGGAGAGAGGCCAACAAACACCCTGAGTCCCCTCCCTTGCAGCGAAGCCAGGGCTCCTGGCTCAGTGATTTCCAACACCAAGCAAGCAGGAGCCTTCCCCTCCTGACCGTGTTTCTGCAAACCCTAGTCCTGCCCCCTGTAGCAGGAATGCCACTGTGTTTTGTTTTCAGAGACGGCTTGTTCCCTGTCCAACTGCTGCCTCCCCAGAAACTCGCTGGCCTTCCCCTTGCCCTAAAACATCAGGGACTTACCCTGAGCTTCAGAGAGTCCTTGTCATATGGGCTGGGGGTGAAGTCCGTGTGGACACGAGCTTTACCACAGAAGGGGCCAGTGTATGGTGGGCTGGTCTCCTCCATCCTCAGGCTGTCACGGTTGTTGCATGTGTAGCTAGGGCTGATCACTTCACTTCCTGCAGGTGGGGGGAACCAAGTCAGCCTCTCCTTGTGACCCAGCACAGCTTGCAAGACTTGCTCCCATTCTCTGGGGGCAGCATACTGGCCAAGTGGGCTGGGTTTTGCTGTGTGCTTGATGGATGTGGGTGTGCCTTTGTCACTTGCACTGGTCTCAAGTTTCTTTTCCTCGTACCCTCCTGCACCAGACTACTGCATGCCAATGAGGCCATTCTGGGCAGAATAGCTACAATCCTGGGGACTCCACATAAGAATCGCACTGTAACACAGGGCTGGAAATCAAAGCTGCCCGTCTATCGCCTCAGCTGTGCTTAGCAACGTTCCCCCTTCCCCGCTCCACATGGGAATGCCGGGGCCCAGGACCTGGCACCTTTGAATCCCTGCACAGCCAAGCCAAACAAGTAGAGGCCAGTTGTTTCCTGCAAAGCACCAGCAGGGAGCAGGATCCATGGGCTTGGAGGAGGGGTGGCTATCCAGGCAGCTGCCATGTGTTACAACTAAAGCAAGCTTGGTCACAAACCCCACAGAAAGGTGCAAGAAATCACAGCTGTGTGTACCAGGTATAGGTGCCTGAGCTGGCCCAACAGTCACACAGCCAGCTGAGTGTGAGCACCACGGGGCAACTCCTGCACTAGACGGGTATGGAAATCCCTCACCCTTAAGATGGTGCCACATTGTGGCAGGAGTATACAGGGCACTGGCTCCTCCACCCTAAAGGCCCAGGCCAATGTGGGCAGAGACTTGGCCTCCCTAAATAGTGCTCCTCGACTGTGCTCTGGTAAAGATGGCTTTGGCCCCTCAGAGCTAGTAGTGCAATGCAGGAAGGGGGAAGACTCTGCCCTCCTGGGCTGGGGGCGTGGCTGAGCACAAAGGGGGAGGAGCCTGTTCTATGGGCAGTGCCGGATTATGACATGCTGAGGCCCTAAACGATGTCCATCTCAAGAGGGCCCATACAACAATAATAATCCATGAAAATTAGTTTTCATGAAATTTTAAGATGAATTATTGTTATTTCTGCACAAATTTATGTACTCAATATGAATAATAACTGTGGAGCCATATATATGTATATTTTTGTCATATTAGAATGAAAATGTCCAGGTTTTTGCAGCCCTAAACTGTATCTTAAGTAGCTTGAGCCTAAATCCGGCACTTCCTGTGGATCTGTCCCAACCAGCCACGCCTGCCCGGGCAGCTACCAGTCCTGCTGGGCTATCACCTCCTGCAGAGGAAAAGCTAGTGGGGACCTGGAAGGGGCTGATGTGAGCTCACAATAATGAGAGCACTGAGGTGTGTGAGCACATAACTTTAGGGTGCAGGCCTGCCCATGCACTCACCACTGGACAGCTGGCGGCTAAGCTGCGAGTGTACGCTGTCCTCCGCCTCCACGTAGGACAAGGGCATCTTCTCAGAACTCTGCTCATCCAAGCTGCTGTCCAGAGATAGGGGTGACATGGAGCCCTCCTCTCCAGCTTCCCCCTGCAGGTAATAAGCAGGCACCATGGCAGCTAGTCCTGCTGGACTGTCTTGGTGACCCTGGTAGGCTCCCCTGAAGCAGATCAGAGAGCCTGGGAGCTGGCACTAATCCATATTGGAGGGTTGGAGCCAGGGTCATATCTCCCCTCCCCATGTCCAAAAGCAAAGCAAGCTAGGGACTCAGCTGCCACGGTGCAGATCCCAACCAGGTTGGTTGAATTCAGAAGCAGGAGACCCTGGGGGATCTTCCCATAGGAGGCAGGAAAGCTGTGGAGACCTGGCAGAGGTTGCCTCCCTCCGACTGGGTTTCCTCACAGTGGGATGCTTTGGGGCAGGGCTGTCCAACTTCCAAGTGGCCAGGGCCCACAGACCCCTTGGGCCACACTAGAGCAAGCTACAGTCCCCTCCCCTTCCCTGGGCTGTACATCCCATGGATGCCTCCCACTGCTGCCCCTCATTACAGCATGTATCCACAACCCTCCCCCCACAGCTGCACTGCATACCCGAAACCCCCACCCCCCTACACCACATGCCTGCATGGGCACTCCACCAAAGCAACACAAGCCTGCACCCCCAACTGCCCTCCACTCCCCGCTGCGCTGCACACTTCAGAGGGACCCTCAGCTCTTGGATACCACACTGCCTACCCTATCCCCCACAGGGCAGGCACAGGAAGCTGCAGCTGGAGGAGGCAGAGGGAGCCTGGGGACTTTGGCTGCTGCTGCAAGCTGAGCCATGGGGGAGCAGGAGCCCCCAGGCTGCAATTTATCCTCTTGCAGGCTGCATGCAGCTGCCAGTTGGATAGCCCTGCTTTGGATGAACATTAGTGAAGCCCCTTCCCCTGACAGGTCAGTGGGTACCAAACCCTGAGAACTGCATGGAGGGCCAGGAGAATTGTCAGCCCAGGCATGTTGGGCCGATAGAGGAGGCTCAGGGGCATGAGGTGAGTCCTCAGCAACCTGCAATGGCAAAGAGCGGAAGTTGGAGGAGTCATTCCCCAGCTCAGCTCAGCCTTTCCTCCTTTCCAGGTTGTGCCGAGTTCAGCTTGCAGAAGATGCCTGCCTGGACTTGTTTAGCATGTTCCCCCTTTCTTCCTGTTCCTGCACTTCTCTGTACTTGTTCCTGTGCTGTGCAGGCAGCCTCCTTCTGGCTAAAGTGGTTACTTTGCATGCCAGGGTGACACGGTGAATCCTGGGACCATGTAATTCAAAGCTTACTTGGCTACAGTGGTTTGAACCAACCTTGGTGGCCTCTAGAAAGGCACAGTAAGGGCCTCAGGGACAGCAGGAGGAGAACTGTTGTAGTTGGAAAATATAGGCAGAGGTGTAACTAGCAAGTTTTGTGTCCCAGTCAAAACTCCCCTGGGCACGGGGCAGAGGGGGAAGGAGGGACTTACCTGCCCCAGGGACTCAAAGATTCCCCATCGGTGCCCAGCTCCTATGGGTATGGGGAATAGGTACAGGGCTCCACACAACATGAGCCCACATGCTATTGGGAATGAGCCATTCCATAGCTGGAGCATGGCTCACTGATTAGGAGCCCAAATGGCAGCCCAGCAAGTAAACAGTCAGGTTATTCTGAAGGGAGTGAGCTGGATGTCCATCAGTTGGAGGCATGTGTGTTGCTGAGCTCAGTGCTCAGACACTGGCATGTGTGAAGCTGGGGGGCACCCAGGTAGTGAATCCTTGGGGAGCCAGTGGGGTCATTGATGCAATTGGTGCAGCCTGGCTCCACACAGGATAAACTCACACCTCAGGCCAGGTGGAGAGTCCCCTTCTACCCACAGGCAGGCAGCTGGGGTTCCTCTCCCACTCCCATGCAGGGACTGCTAGTATCTGTCCCACACATCATGGGAAACAATCAGTGCCCTGTGCAAGTGCCCCCCTCTCTTCCCTCCTGCCCTCCACCCACCCGCTGGTGACCTGCACTGGGGCGTATTTCTAGCATGTCAGAGGTCTGACTGAGGAAATGATCAGATTCAAGCCCTGCTCAGCTGCCCCCAATCCCTCCAATGAGCAGCAATGAAATAGATAACTGTTAACATTCACAGGGTGACCACTAATCTCCAGAATTAACAGAGCTCAAAGAGGCCCGGGGCAGTCAGCCCTTGTCTCCATTGCCTGTCTGCATGGTCCTCTCTGCAGTGACAAGGACTACAGGTTCTCCTGGACCAGGGGTTGTCAGAGACAAGCTGGGCTGGCTGGTATTAGCTCCTTCCAAGCCCACTCGCAATCCTGCTCCGGGCCTTAGTAAGCCTATGTGGCTGGAATACTAGGCTTCCACCTGGTGCTGACACTATGCTGTTTGAGTACCAGCTCCTTACCTTCGCTTCAGACAGCGCTTTCACCGCCACCCTGCCCATCTTCCTGTTCATGGTGCGGGAGATTACAGCCCTCCACTTCTTGCCCAGCTTCATTCCACTGCTTTTGGAGGGGTCCTCTGAAGCAGCACTTCCAAGGGCATCCTCAGGGATCTACAGGGAGTGACATGGCCAAATGGGTGGTGGGTGCTGGACAACAGAAATGACCCAATTTTCCCTTGACAAAGCAGGGATGGTGAGCCCCCTTGTGCTGCCACGTGAAGAACCAGGGGGATGAGGCCTGACTTTCTGCCAAGCAGAAACCTCCCCAGGTAAACCCCAGAGAAGCAAACTGGAAAGCCTATACACTTGGCCTTCCAGAAAGAGGCACATCTGTGGGTACCAGATTTGCCAGCACCACACCTGGCACCTCTGCTAGAGCTGAGAGATGGGAGTGGAATTCTCCCCTCAGTGACCTCCCACTAGCCTGGAGAGAAGTCCTGCCATGGGGAGCAGGGGGGCAGGCTGTGGGCCTCTCCAGCTCCTCTGAGCAGCCTAAGTGGGAGCAGGATGAGAGAGGCAGAGCAGGGCCCATCTTGGCTCCAGAAGAAAGCTGGGGATGTCTGTGTCCCAAAGAGGAGCAGACTGGGGATTGGGTAAAACGGAGACTGCATGGTCCAGAATGGAGACCCCGAGGGGGAAGCAGTGCCAGGTGGGTGCCCCTGTGGGCAGATAGCAGAAATGGCAATGGGGCATGCTCCAGGGAGTGACAATCCTGGCTGCAGCAGGGTGCTGATATCAGGACAGATACTCACGTTCTCCTCCAAGCTAAATTCCTTCTCGCTCACCCCAGGGGAACTGGGCTTGGACTTGGCAAAATCCTTGAAGCTGCTGGAACGTTGGAGGGAGAGCTGCAGGGGAAGTGGGGACACCATAAGAATGTGAGCCCTGGTGGTACAGCACAGCCACCGGCCAGGCAGGGCTGCCCTTTTTGGAAAGGCCTGGCTCTTACCCCTGCCCTTCTGGGGCTGTTGGGGGCACCTCCCCACAAGGGGGGTGTGGAATCTACAAGCAGAGACCAGGGCATGGATCAAGAACAAGGCTGTGAAGCTTCACCACACCTGGACCTTTCCCACCTGCATGTCCCACGGCTTTCACTGGCTCACTCCCCCTGAGTGAGACCTCTCCTGTCCATGTCTGGCTCAGTTGTCCCTTTCTTTGGGACAGACCCACCCTGCACTTACCCCTGCTCTGGCAGTGTAGTTGTTTCTCTTGGCCCCTGATCCAATTCACTGGGCAAGACGATGCTAACAGCAGCCCTCTGCCTTTCCCACGAGCCACTGCAGGTGCCTTACAAACAGCTGCAGGCCACGGCAGGGTCGGGGGAGGGCCATCTCCCAGGCTTTACAGAAAAAGAAACTGAGCCACAGCCACTGGCCAGGATCACACATGTAATTAATGCTCCTGGGTGCATGTCTACATATGTAATTAATGCACACGAATAAACTCCAGAGCTTATTGCTCCTGAGTTTTTTGCTCCTGGGTGAGGCGTTTGAACATGCACCCAGGAGCAAAATACTCCAGAGCCATTAGCACTGGAGTTTATTTGTACACAGTGCAGGGAGCCTGGTGAGAGTAACCCAGACTGGCAGGGGACCCAGCGGGTCAGCCCTGGGCTGTCTGCTCTGACGGGGCTCTATGTGCTGAGGAGTGGATGGCTAAGGCACAAGCAGACCCCGTGCTGAAGCACCCTCATGCATCAACACCACCCCCCACCCCCCAACACTTCTGCCACAGCACATGCAGCCTCACTGGAACAGCCCTGGTTACCTGCCAGCCCAGGGCTGCTCCCAGGGCTCCATATGCTGTGGAGAGGCTGGCTGGGGTAACAAAGGTGCTTCAGTGTCAGGGGTTGCCTACTGGCTAGTCCCACACTGAAGCATCCTTGTGCCCCAGC